GTCTCAATAAGTATACCAAGGGAAAGGACAAAGATTTTCTTTCTACTCAAATATTCCATTATTCGGTCTCTAAAAGCTTTCGAAGCTCTAAATGAGCTTCAAACAAGTGGCACTAAACGGTTCTAATAATGATTATAGTCGTCACTCCAGACTTTTTCGAGGTCAACTACGGCTATACAGAGTGGTCAGAAATTCAACCGACACTATAAATGAGTATTAACCAACTAGTGTCTTCATGAGAGCGATATTTTGTTCGAGATCATTAATCGGCTTATTAATATTCGAGTTGGTTACAAAATTGTTCTGTCGACTATACAGGGAATGTCACGAAGAGCTTACACTATCTTTATATCGAGAATCAGTCGGGAGAAATCTATGAAAATGTGTATGCTTATATTTTAGAATACGCTCTCTTCATTTGAAATATTGTCGACGACGCAGTGTTGCCGCTTCTACTAGAAAGTAGTAGCACCATTGATATTTCAAACGGAACACCCTGTATTTCATCGCATTTTCAGATTCTCTCCTGATTTCTTCGATACATCACACTTCGAGTCTATAGAAAGAGAGGGGGTTCAAAATCGAAATTCTTCAATTTTAGGATTTTGTGTTGAAACTATTCATTATTGATCGAAACGGCTCACATGTCCTAATCTTATTTTTCTATGGACACCCTATATTTCTGTAATCATCGTTTTTTTTTTAATGACAAATTTGTTGCTACTTTTTGATGAAAAAATATTTTCGATGAAGAGATCGTATACCAAAATTTGAGCATGCATATTTTCATAGATTTCTCCCACCTGAATCTCGATATAGAGATTCGTGACATACCCTGTATATTTTTTCTATGATGAAGAAAATTTGGTTTCATCGGGAAAAAATTATTGATCACCCAGTAGCCACGAATGTCAACTAGTCACTGACATTTGACATTTGTCGAGATTATCAACATGGAAAATAGAATCCTTTTGTGTTAAAAAACAGAAACACACATGTCTGTTATTTCCATTGTCTGCTAAATATGGAGAAAAAATCTAGTGAGCTGGAGTATAATCAGAATAAACTACTATAATACTGGGAGCACAACACAAAACTATATCTATAAACGAAAGGAATATTAGAACAATGAGAATTGAAAAAGAATGATCTTTTAGAAAAAAATTCAAAACAAGTCACCAGTGACAACTTACATAACCACAAATTTCGAAATTTTTCTAGAAAAAAGTGACGATAATATCGTACGATACGGTAACATCCTCTAGTGGTCCTACACTCAACTGAGCTATTGGGAAGACCAGTAGTTCCAGCTCACTAGATTTTTTCTGCATATTTAGCAGACAATGGTTATTTCCATCGATGCATACTTACATGCCAAATTGTATGGAGAAAGCTTTGTTCACATGGCAAACGGAATTTTTTGCCAAATAACAATTTGAATACAATTCGAAATGTAGGTATTCATCATCAGAAATATTTCTCGAATTCACTATTGCATTATAAAGACAAATTGGTTCGACAAGGAAATGACGTTATTGTGTTGAGTAATCTTGGAACTTTTCTTACCCCTGATTTATAGATTCAGAGATGCCCACATATTTCTATGAACGCATTGTGGAACGGTGACAGAACGTCATGCAGAAGGGAGGTTAGGTTTATTGTTTGATCTACATTAGGAATTGATTAATTAGAAGCCTAATCGAAAATATTATTCCATTTTGAATAAGTCAAACAGGTATTACAAGAATAGCAATGCGAATTGAGGTGAATAGTTGAGAGAAGAGATTGCACTGATATTGTAGGGATTATGAATATATCTGGCAAACTTCAATAATTCATTGCAAAGATTCAAATCCATCGGAGTGCATTTGATAAATTGTTGGGGTTGGAGATTATTCTCATGGACATTGAGGTATGTAGAGCTTGTCGCATTGCCAAATATTCATATTCCAGGTTATCTCCCATTGGCAGAATTGGAATACCTTGAACAGATTGATACTTGTACTTTGCAACAATTCTAATTCCAAAAATGATACTTGATAGTCTGAACAGAAATATTAACAAAAATTTTAACATGACTTTTTGGCAAGGGTCAAATAAAGAAAAATCTATAATAGTTATTTAACCAACTAGTGTATTAATGAGGGCGATTAATGATGGAGATCATTAATCGCCTTTTAATATACAAGTTGGTTACAACATTTTTCCGTCGACTATATTCCTCATTTCTCCTGCAATGAAGAAAACTTGGTTCGCGAATTCATTATTCATCCGGAAACTGCTAAGAATCACCCAGTAGCTTTGTTACTGACATTAGTGACATTTGAAATGTGTCGAAATGATCAACATTAGAAATAATAGTTATTTAACCAACTAGTGTATTAATGAGGGCGATTAATGATCAAGATATTTTAACGTGCGAGCGAAGCGAGCGCATTAATGTTCGAAATCATTAATCGCCTTTTAATATTCAAGTTGGTTACACAATTTTTCCGTCGACTATATTTCTCATTTCTCCTGCAATGAAGAAAACTTGGTTCGCGAATTCCATTCATCCGGAAACTGCTAAAAGAATCACCCAGTATTCTTGTTACTGACATTAGTGACATTTGATATTTGTCGAAATGATCAACATAGAAAATAAATTTCTTGTGTTAGAAAACAGGGATCAAAATCGTGCCAGAAACTTGGAAAGGCGAATCCGTTAACGGAAAATCTTCGATGAAATCCATATTTTCGATTTAAATTCAGATTCCGTAAGTTATAGCATAAACAATGAATGCACGCGGTGTATGTTTGGTTGCCTATAAAACAATCGTGCATTAATAGACAAATCGTTCATTAATAGGGGTTATTAATGAACGATTTCATATACATTAAATTTAGTCGTTAATACGAGATCGACGGAAAATTCCTTTTGTTAGAAAACAGGAATTATAATCGTGTCAGAAACTGGGAAAGGCGAACCCGTTAACGGAAAATCTTCGATGAAATCCATATTTTCGATTTCAATGCAGATTTCGTGAGTTATAGCATAAACAATGAATACACGCAGTGTATGTTTGGTTGCCTATAAAACAATCATGCAATAATAGACAAATCGATCATTAATAGGGGTCATTAATTAACGATTTCATGAACATTAAACTCACTCGTTAATACGAGGTCGACGGAAAAATAACTTTATTTATTCATTGTCTCACGGTACTGATTGCGGACCGAAACTACAATTTTTTACTTTCGAAAAAAAAATTTCTGAAGTCCTGTAAATTAGGATGTTTCGAACCCCCAGAAATGGAATTGGACTCAAATTGTAGGGAATTCGGGAGGGGTGAAAGAACTTACAGTCACAACTCCACCACATATTCCACATGTTATCACCTCCACTGTATGTTATGGATCACCTACGTTGGTTGTAGGGAATTTATTCAGCTTCAGGAAGGGCCCATTCACTTTTCCTTCAGGAAGCCGTCTTATAAGAATTTTGGGCAAAAATCTAAATTAGTCGAGATATTTCAAGGTTTTCCGAGCACCCCACTTCTAGCGTAGGTCTTTCGAGGCTGCAAACTTGGTTCCATACCATTTAATTATAGCCAAGCAACATGCAAAAAAAGAAATGTGCGAATTTATGCGGAATATGCCTTTTTTGTCTAGGATCAGTGGCCTAAAAGAAAAAAATGAAGTTCTAGTCTGTATCTCGGAAATTAAAAAAATCGCCGTGGTCCTCATTGTAAAGACTTTGGAAAATGGCACATTCTATGTGAGAATGCACCCTCCTTTTACGATTATTTCTCAAACCAAAAACATATGAGAAACTCTGATAGCATTTTTCAAAATAGCAATGAAATCATCATTGTCCATAAATCTTATATTGCAACTCTCAAAATAACATCGATAGTAGTAGTAGTAGTGTATACAGATCTTGGAGAAAATGGTCAGCTTACAGGATTTTGAATACGTTATGAAGTGAGGTATTGTAGCCAGTCGACCTCCTGTAGGACACAGCCTACAGACTATTTGCCATGCCATTACTGATTCTTTCATTCTTTCAGAGCCCAGAGCCTGATAAAAAGCGATGATCAGGGTGGAAATCAAGGTAGATTGGTCCAATTGAATGCTTGATCATGCCGGGGATACTACTGCACGATTCCCTGTTGCGTTCCAATTAACAGTGCTGCTCCTGAAGTGGCGCATGAAGTTAGGAACAAAGCCTACACAGAACACGCCGAAAAAGGTGATGATGTGGTTATGAGCATCAGAGAAGAAGTAGAACGGTGTATGTAGGTGGGCGTGGAAAACTACCAGCTGAGCGTGAGAGCGGGCCAATGCTGCTTAGTGGACCTCGGTCTCTAACGGGGGTTAACGAGGTAGCTGGCAGGCCTGCCACTGCATCATATGGTAGTGAGTACATTACTAGCCTACAAAACACAGCCAAAAAACTCTGAAAGAGAGCTGATGAGCGGTACCTGAAAAGGATGTTAGCCAGCTCTCGTAAGCGAGCCACATCACTCATTAAAAACACCTTGGGGCTTGCAAAAAGGTCCCATTAGAGACTAGCTGACTAGTTGCTGACGTGCAAACGTCTCCCACCAGTACCAGTACCAGGGTAGTCCCATTGGACATTTCAAAGTTAGGGTTGCTAGGGGTTAGGCGGATGAACACATCAAGTTTTATGATTTCGTCAAGTATACAAATCGACGGTACCTGGCGATTGCTGGTAGATGATTCGGTTATCTAGTTATAAGTTCAAGTTTTCGGTGAAAGACCCTGTACGCATACACGTATTTTTGTATTTGATCATACAACCACAAACTTGAAATTTCTCATTCACGCAGCCCTAATGTTGTTTATTCAGTATAACAATAAACATTGTACATTGGAAATACATAAAGTATCAAGAGCTTCTGGATATCAGACCACTCTGTTTGTGGTCTATAATAAAAAATCCATTATGAGGCCCACTATTCATATTATTTCCAGAGATAACGTGATATATTGTGGTTTGTGGCATGCGCTGAATATGCGTGAAATACTGAAAAGGACGATTACAACAGACCACAAAAGGTACAATCCATGGCAACATGCAAAGTAGGGTGAGAAAAAAGAGATATGGGGTTGATCGAGATTGTTCTCGCTACAATGTGTCTTAACGCAACATGTGATATTGAGCCAGGTAAGTTACAAATAACTTGCATGCTATAATAATAATAATTGTGAGTATAAGTACGTAGGAAAATAATGTCCGATAGTTAATCGAGAAGGCAAAATAGTTATTATTCTACGGCAACGGCTGCTCTCACCACTGTTTTTGGTTATAATAATTGCACAAGTGCATAAGAATATCCGAAAATGTTGAGAGAACGCGTGTTATCTTAAAGTTTCAAGAGTTTATTTTCATACATAACTTATGATGCGTGTCAGAATAACACAAGATATGTCAGGTAATCAATCATATCACGACATTATTTTTCCTACGGTTAGTTTCACAATCTTTGCTGATGATACAAGCATACTAGTTACTGATAATAATACTGACCAACTCACTCTGCTGTCAGAAGAAATAATGAAAGGAGTATAAGACTGGTCCTTAGCTAATAAACTATCTCTTAACTATCCCAAATCGAATAACATTGTATTCAAAATATATAGAGATGTCGATGATCACTATACACCTCGATCAACACTCTTTTGTTTCCCTATGCTCTACTGTATTTTTGGGAATGAACTGAGTAGATCAGCTTTTGCCCTACGAACTATGAAGAGAAATACTGATTTGGCGACAGCGAAATTAGTATATTTCGCATACTTTCATAGTATCTTGCAATATGGTATATAATTTTGGGACACATCTATTTATTCGTCAGAGGTATTTGGAATCCAGAAAAAAACAATTTGCATATTATTTGGCTTGAGCTACAGATACTCTTGCAGAACACTATTCAGGGACAACGAAATATTCCCCTTGAGGAATACCTATATATTCATAATAATATCACTTTATTTATTTATACTGCCAAATCAACAGGCCATGGCCCAATTACAGACAGACAGTTCCTATCTCGGTTCCTATCCTACAGTAAAATACACTACACAGAAAGATTACAATACACTCAACTTTCTGGAAAAACAGTTGAGTTAAGATATAAAATCGAGACGTTCATGACAAACTTCTTCAAAAATATTAACATATGTAGCCTATAACTAAGGATTTTGAGGATATTGAAGAGGTGAAGAACATCCTTTTATTTCGCTACTACTAAATGTAAAAATATCTATATCACGGTTATATTCATTTACAGCTCTTTGGCATTTTCCAAAAGGTGAGCAAGATTTAACATCAATGTAGAAAATAATTTTTCTTCGTTTCCGTAGTTTTACTTCAGGTACATGAATGTTTATTTGACTAAGTAGATCACGTACATTCAGTTTATTACTGATTATGTCTGAAACAAACAGCACATCATTGAAATCTTTTCTTTGCTCAAATTCCATGAGTTTATTTCTGTATAAGATCATAAAAGCAGATTCTTCATGTTTCCTGTAGGTTTCTCAGAAATTTCCTTTGTACTTTTTTTATCATTTTAGGGTATACAATGGTGTTGGGATTCCATATAAATGAGGCATATTCTAGTTTAGGTCGTACAAAAGCATTGTATAGAAGTATTCCGGTTTTCCAGTTGAACTGATATGAATTTCTAAGCACAAAACTCGAGCTTCTGTAACTGTAGTTCAATATTCTTGATATAAGAGGTAAAAATGATTTTTTTTTCGAAAACTACCCCCAGATTTCTGATATTGTCACGACAAAGGGGTTGGTGACTCCACCATGTCACAACAAAAGAGTTGTGTTTACACCATGTCGCGATATAAAAGATGGTTGAGCCATCCATATCGATTGATACGGGGTAATGCTTGGCTTAATATTTTGCGAGAGGTAATATTCAAATAGGCACTAATAGTTTAGGGGTAGCTGAAAGTATGAGACTACATTCAAACATAACAATATTTATAATAGCATGAAACATTATGGGTGAAGTGATTATAAATATGAATAAACAACAATGAATATAAAGACCTAATAACAACTTACATTATAACGACCATTACGACGAGCTCTTGTCAAGTCAAGAGTAGCCCCAGACCAGACTAACTTCGGAACCCTCATATCCAATATTTATATACATCATTTTATTAGATTTGCACGTTTCTCATGAGAGTTCCTTGGTCAGTTTTCATAGTTCAATGTCGATTGATGATTTGAATAATTTTATGTTTATAAAACCCTCATGGTTACAAATTACTAATATACTGAATGTTCTACTCGTGACAATATCTTGTACCTTCTCTAGTCTAGTTTCATTCACCCAGTACTCTGTATCAATAGGATTAGTTTTACGAGTGAATGATAGAGTTTTGCATTTATTTCCATTCAGTAGAAGATCATTTGACTTGCAAAACGAGATGAGTCTGTCAAGGTCTTGTAGTGAAATTTTGTCATTTTCGTCATTGATTATTTTATATAGCTTCAAATCATCAGCATACAATAAAAACTAAGATGTTTTTATAAAATCCCCAACGTCATTCACGAAAAGGATGAAAAGTAATGGACCCAAAATATATCCCTGGGGTACTCCTGATAATGCAATAAAGTTATCCGATCGATGTTTATTGAATTGTACAAATTGAGTTCTGTTTTAAAGATATGATTCCAACAATGATATCAAATTTTCATCGATTGAGAACTTCTTCAGTTGATTGAGTAATGCTTTGTGGCTGACTTTGTCGAAAGCCTTAGCTAAGTCTGTATAGATGACATCCACCTGCTTGCACTGGTCGATAGCAGCTGCTACATCTTGACTAAAGACCATCATATTATTGCTCTGGTGCAATAAGGTGCTGTACATGTCTCTAGAGCCCATTATGAATCACTTTTTCGAATACTTTTGAGGGAGCCGGAAGTATTGTGACAGGCCAATAATTGGTTATCTTTCTGGGATTTCCAGATTCATGAATTGGTGAAATTCGTTCTATTTTGAAAAAAAAAAATTGGATAAGTATGCTGATAAACAAAAAGCGAGCAACATCGACTAGGCCTTCGGACAAACACACATATCCAACTAGAAATCAAGAATTCATTCTTCCAAATTATAATTACAACAGATCAAGAAATGGCCCGTTATATTCGGGAACTGAGGTTTACAACCACTTACTTCCCAGTATGAAATATTTTAACAATACGTGATTCAGAACAAAGTTGAAAAAAGTATCTATTGCATGATAATATTTACTATTATTCGAATGAATACTTTTTCCACAACTTAGAATCATTACCAATAATTTTGCACCGCACACTACTTTCTCGACGCATTATGATATAGAATCTGAAAAAACTGTTTAATTATGTGACATGACAAACAATAATTGTATTTTGGTTCTGATGAGAAATGAATGTATCTATCTATCAACTTTCGCGAAGGAACTGAAGGAGGACAGGGCTCCTTTACACAATATAAAAATGACCGAATGCAATTTTTATAAGATTTTACGCTTGATATCAAAGGTGATCGGCACGTTTCATATCCGATTGCGAATGAGAATATGACATGAAATTATTATTTCATCAAGAATACCTACTCTTTCTTGAAAGCAATTATGTTGCTTCAGGTAGGTTAGGTTAGGTTCAATGTGAATGGGGGAATACCGCCCCTCCACTGCGACCCCAGATGGGTCTATTGTGGCTCACCCCTAGAGGTTACAGTTCACTGTACAGTCCACATCTTTTTACAAAGTTCATGGTTGAATCAGGTGCAATTTGTCTGAAATCGATAGGTTCTAAATTGGTAAAGCCAAATATATCGAACCTTAGTCTCTCTAAGTAAGAGCATGAACATAATATGTGTTCAGCCGTTTCGCCTTCTACACAGCAAAATCGACAGTCCGTTTGTTGGTTCAGACCCATCCTTCCCAGGTGATATCTTAGACGACAGTGTCCCGTGAGCAGTCCTGTCAGAATTCGCAGGTTACCCCTGCTCCATTCTAGGATCTGCCTGTTTATATTTTTCGATGGTTTAGGCAGAAACGCCTTCGAATGGTTCAACCCTGGTAATTCAGACCAGTGCGTGAGTCTCTTTTCCTCTGCCCAGTCCGAGATTGTTGTTTTGTTTTGACCGCACTTGTGGTGACCCCAAATTATGGTTCTGGTCCTATGAACACAGATTTGGTTCTTTGTTCGGCGAGGTTGTCGGTTTTCACGTTGCCCTTCACACCCTGGTGTCCAACACCAAAGAAACTCTGTTGTTGGCACCCAGGCATTCTAGGGATTCAATAAAGCTCCATACAAGCTTGGAATTTATCTTGCTGGAGCTCAGTGCTATAAGAGCAGCCTGACTGTTTGATACAATGCTGATGTTTTTGTTTACTAGAGGTCTAGTCCTCCGCCTGAAAGATTATAGCATACTTACCGAGATTGACAGAGATTTCCGTCCTCGGTTTTCTACTTTCAGGTAAAACTACACTCGCGCTAAGCCCTCGTGTAGTTGCCAAGCAACATATAATTTGTTGTAGTATGAACGATAACAGGTCTGTTTCTGAATGATATTGAATTTGAATTTCATGTTATTTCTGTTGTTAAATCATTTCGGTATTATATGTTGAAGACTGAGAGGAAGTATAGAATGCAGATTTTCAAATCGTGTGAATAGCAGCATGAGCAGTATGTTTCTCTCAGGTCGTTGATGTTCCTGTGGTAATTTTGAAAAATGCGCGCTTCTGAAAGTAGGAATCACGCAGATAAGCGAATTAGGATACCATTCAAATAATATCATCATGATATGAATGGTGAAAAATGCTTGGTCCATTTAAATGCTTGTGTTATTTGATATTTTGCAGATATCGAACAGGTCATAGCTACTGCTCGCATTAGTCGATTGGCTCAGTTAGCAGAAGAGCTAAAAGTGGAAACCCTTACTATAACTACTCTGAAGGTAAGTGCCTATAGATGAAAATGTTTCACGAAAAACTAAAATGATTTTATTCAGACCTAGAAATTGAACAATATGTTGATTTATACCTTTGATATCGTGAGATTCATGCGTTGTGACCTATTAATTTCTGAATAAATGGATTTTTTTTCAAACTTTCGTAATTTCTTGAAATTCATTATTTTTATGAATATATCATTCTTGATGTTCAATTGTGACGGTTAGGAATTTCCTTTACAGTTTACGAAAACAATATACAGTATGAGCTTTTTGATATAAACCAACCTATCGAAATTTTTCAAGAACGGTCCTACTTTTCCAGATTCTGGAAGCATCAGTCGATTAGAAAGTAGTGGCATAATATTTCATGAAAAGTTCATACAAATCGAATGGGCTGTCGGAAAGTTATGTCTAATAGATATTTTTTCCAAATTCCATGAATAAATCACCCTATATCGAGCCCAACATACAGGGTGGGTACCGAAACGTCCGGAGGTGATATTGAGGAATATTTCTAGTTTGATGAATGAACTGATGGCCAATAATGTATATCAAGAGAGACATATTCATCCGAAATTTATAAAATCGAAATAGTTTTCTCTCATAACTTCTAAACAAAGTCACTGGTTTGAAATTTCCTGCATGAATGTATGCTGATACAATACATTTTCTGATATATTTTTACATTTCCGATTATGAAGGGTGTTCTCAGAGGGTGAGTCATGATTTTTTGAATTTTTTTTCCCGGTATTGTTTTTGGTGGAAAAATAGAAGCAAATAATATTAGAAGAATTTATTCCATCAACATACATTTAGGTATGCAGGAAATTCATATCTGGTCGCTTCTGCTTTTAAGAAGTTATGCGGGACAATTATCTCAATGTTATCTACTTTGGAAGGATATTTCTTCCTCAATATACATTTTGGGCCATTAGTTTATTAATAATAATAATAATAATAGGTCTTTATTTCCCATAACAAGTACAACAACAAAAAAAAAAGACAAGGATAATAACAAAATATACAGGTATGGGAAAACGCCGAAGATCAGGTGGCCAGTGTAGCATGTACACAGTACACAGTACACAGACCTCTGTTATTATTCTTGAGCGAAGAAAATAAATATAAATTCTTGAGTCATACATACATACATTACTTATAATTATTATTTTTAATCCAAGAGAAAACAAATTGAATCCTATTCACAAGACCTATAATTAGTAATGTTTTTTTTTTCATTTTTTTTTGTCATTCAGGAGGTATTTTTTCATTTTCTTTTTAAAATGAACTTCACTGAAAGACTTCATGTTTTGGGGAATCGAGTTATATATTCGCGAGACTTGGTAGGTGAATGACCGTCGAAAAATAGTGGTCAAACTATACTAATTTTTCAATATACTATCACCTCCAGAAAGCTTGGTACAAATTTTTGACTCACCCTGTATATTAGTGAAGAAGAGGAGGAGACCATTTCTGATGCTCTTTTGGTAGTCTCCATTCTCTATTCGTGGTAGGAGTATGAACAGTTCCTCATGGCTCACCCTGTAAATCCGAAATATTCAAATTGATTTCAGCCTGATGGAAGTAGTTTTTTCTTTAAGGTAAATAATAATCCCAAACACAAATTGTCAGCCACAATAATCAAGCAATATTGGTTGAATAACTCGATTGATATAATATGTGGAATATCATATTTGAATTATATGGTTCAATATTGTTTTACGAATGTCAGTAAAATAGCATTGTCTACAAATGAATAATACAATCTTAATATTCCTCTCACATTGATCCTATTAGTGAAAGTCAATATTGAAAATTCAAAGTTGACAGCAGAATTGTTGAATATTCTTTGAACAATATTCAAGAAGTAATATTCACTTCATCATCATCATCTTTATTATTTCCAAGAAAAAATTTACATAATATCTATTTATAACAGCGAACATTAAAAAGGAACATAATGTATTACACTACATTCAAAATGTAGTAGGTATAGGTATAATAATTGTTCTATAGGTTTGCAGTAAATGTTTCTTGATTGACAAAATATGCGATTATGTATGATTCCAACAAGAACGTCATGAATATTATTTACCTTGGCAACCATTGTTATCGCAATTGTTTCAAGTGCAAAACTAAAATTCTGAATGCATAAATTAGAACCGCAAGTGATCCTGCTAGAAGAATGGATTTTTCAGCAAGATTTTCACTTTGGTTTTAGCAGGAAAATTCTATGGAGCTAAGTATTCAAACATAAAACAGAGAATACCCCTGAAGATGATTTGGCACTAATGGACCAATAAAGTGGCCGGCGAGGTCCCCGGACACCACCAGATTATTATTGAGGTCACCTAAAGAACGTTGTCTATGAAGAAACAATCGAAGAAATAGCTGATCTTATTGACAAAATTATTGCAGCGTGCTGACGCTATGACAAGAAGGACGTTTTTACAAGTGACCCAAGCCCATCTGCTCAAAGTTTTTGATAGTTGTATTCGAGCAGATTGACATTCTTTTGAACAATATTCTCAATTTATTCCATCTTGAAGTATGTTGTTAATAGAAAAATCATTCTGATTGTTAGGTCATTGTCGATCTGAATGAAAACCTAGTAGGCGACCTAGTGCGAGGAGGTATAATATAGCTCCTGCCTACTAACTACCTATCTACGTTGTTATCTAGAACGATAATAATTAGGTTAACCAGAAATTTATCCATTCATTTATTCATTATTTACGAGCATATGCTCTTCAAATTGTACGAAAAATATAATCACGAGTAAAAAGAAATGATGAGATACATTCCAATTGAGTAATAAACATCTAGAAGTACTGAATATAAAAATGGAAAATATAACAAAGTGAACAATTTACATAAAATATCGAACATAAAATATCAATATCACAATAATATTACGAGAACTATCTAAATATCAAGTCTTATGCAAAACTTGAATTGTGTGGGACTCGCAGAGAAGACAATGAGTATTAGCAAGCTTATATAGATGCTCTATAGAGGGATGGAAGAGGTATTCGCTGCGTTGGATTTGTAAAAGGGAATGTGGAATAAATTGTTCAAGCGAGTCCGTCTGGATGGGACATGGAAGCAAATAAATGACATTCTTGTGAAAACTATTTGTAATCGCATTTTTGTCAACCAATAAATTTATAAATAACATGCACTGATGAGTGCGCGTAATTTCGAAGTCAATGCAATTGATTTATATTCTTGACGCGTCGCGACGCTCAGCTCTTTGTATATAGGCTATAAATTTTTCAAACTCCTATCAAAATCTACTTGACCCCATCATTTGACTAATTTCCACATGAATGTTTCTATTCGTTTTCGAGATATTGGTGTGCGGAGTTTTAAGTGAAAAACCCTGTACAGATCTCTAGCCAAATTCAGATTTGATTTCTATGAGGAAAAAAATTTCTGTTTTTCTAGTTGAATGTGAATGTATATTAGCACTCATATTGGTAAGAATCCTTTTGCTACTCAGCCAATATTGTTCTCATATAAAATTGTGCTCATCCATCATTCGGTTGCCCTCTTACGAGCAACCCTCAAAAGTCTTCAAGAGACTTGTGCGAGGAAGGAATGACGGGAGTCTTACCTTTTAACGTGTGATCCAAACACTCATGTAATTGAAACGAGATAGAGCTCTGAAGAGTGAGTCTCCAGGAACCTGAATGAGAGGAGTTCTCCGAACCAACCTCTGGTACTGTGAGTGGCGATGCCCACATTCACTGTGAGGATATTTGAAATGGTTCTCCTTTATGAACCAGGGGTCGTATCCAGGATGACGATTTGAAAACGAACAGCACTCCATATTTCTTCAACTGATGACAAAGGGGACAACTTTTGTGCTATTTGTTGTTACCTTACATTTGATCTCTTCACCGCCAGGGCAGCTACCCCTGAAATTTCAAATAACAACCCCCAATTATTTTGCTATCTTTGAAATTTGCATGTGATTTCAGATAAGTTACACTCATTTTCGATATTTTGTTTTCGAAATTGCAGTACTCAACCTGAAGAATATCTGGATTGTGATTCATTATGATGAAGGAAGTAATAATGCGTACACGCTCAAATAATTACTTCATGAATAATTCAAAATGATCTTTAATGTTTTGTGAGCGAAGGAACAGCCAATATTCAAAGTGTTCTCTGAAATATCGGCTGTAATAGTCTTTTCAGAACAACAGAGACTATTTTGAACAATTGAAAAAGGAATTAGTTAGGTCTGCATATTATTTTTGTATCATCATGATAAATTACAATTCAAAAATTGATGAGGTTGAATACACACACCAATTTTGAAAAAAAAAATGGTGTGATGATCTGGAATTACTTAAGGATTTGAGAAATATCGAAATGATTGGAGGTTGCCACTTAAAACATTATGAGTAGTTGCGACCATAAAGGGGGTGAACGTAATGTGATGAAAAATACCTAAAAAGCTGTCCTCCTTGATACACTTATAAATTGACGTGTTTCGCCAAATTTTCATAATGCCATCATCAGTTGAAGAAATATTCAGTGCTGCTCATATTCAAACTGTTACCCTGTATGGTAAATTAATTAACGTCATTATCGCAATAACGAGATGAAATACAATGGACCAAATCGCCTGAATGTTATCCAAGACTTCGGTCAGACGAGCCTTGGACGGCGGTGGAGTGTCCAGTGGGTTCAAGTTCATAAAAAGAGTGTTCCAGAATTAAATATAAATATTTCAACCACAGATTCTAGGAACAAAAATAGGAGGAAGATAATTTTCCGGAATTTCGATCGTGTCGTGAAAAAGGGATGGGGGGCCAAAGGCACTCTTCCCCCCAACATTTTTGTCTATGCAATTTCTGGCAATTTAATATGGAAATATTAAAATTCTAACTCGAAAATGCCTGTCTCCTTTAGTTTCTAAAGCACTCGCCATTTTCAAGATGAATCGATTCCAAAAGTCTGCTGCGTAATATAATAGAAGATTGTTTTATTAGGATCAGAAGTGACACTTTGTTTGACAAGCGAATCGCATATGCGAGGCGGAGCCGTCAAGCGAAGCCGAGTGAAATCAAATTTTTTCTTCTGTGACGGGAAAGAAGTTTGGCATTTCATGCACAGGTTATGAAATGTCACTTTTCATGAATTACTTTTTTCCTGTGGGAAAAATGTGAGTCCTTTTTTTCCGGAAATATATCACATATTCATACACTGTTGATGGCTTTTGTTGTGCTATAGTTCCGAAAAATGAGTCAATAATACCGTCTCCGAGAAAGAAGTGCAAGTCTTTTTATCTTCCATTCGACTTCGCGGTTACGTATATTACTAAACAACCACTAAATTCGCAATTTTTTGAAATCAAATCACAGAATTAGACTGACAGAAGTAACATCAGATATTTGATTACTTCAAAAGAATGATAAAGATGCCTACAACGCAGGTGTCCCTACTGTTAAAAACTTGAAATTTCACGTCGATAATTTTCAGATTTCAAAATAATGTAATATCTTCTCAATATTGATCCGTCCTTTCTTCTGTCACAGAAAAAATAGTGTATTATACACGGGAAATATATTAGATTTTAGCTCACGGTTTTTTGTCAACACAACCTGATGGACCTAAAATCTACTACCTTTTTCCCTTGTATAATAAATAACTATTTTCTCTTAGTTTGACATCAGTCAGTGATATACTGGTGTTGGCATATGGATGAGTGATGAGTTACAGTATGTTTTCAATAATGGATCTTGAATTCTACCATTTTCATGTTCAGTCACCATGTTCTATCTATATCAAAGTTTTACTGACAAGCTATTGCATTTTTTTTAGGCTCCCTGATAGAAACAGTTGTTGAATGCAGTGACATTTTGGGGCAAATTCTCTGATTTGTCCTAGTGCACATATACAGGGTGATTCAGGTTTCAAGGCACAAACTGAAATGGGAGATAGATCTCATCATTTTAATCAAAAAAGTTTATATAAACATCAGTCCGATCTCGTTCAGTAGCGGAGCTACAGGGCGTCAAAATTTAATTATTTTTTTCTATTAAATGAATTATCTCGCTTACTTTTCAAGATATCATTTTTAAATTTGGTGTGGTGAATACTTCCTAGAAGATCATCATTTCAAGCATTTTAAAGATTTTCAAAATCTACAGGGTGATACGTTTTTGGAGGTAGAGGCTACTTTATCCCCTCCAAACTTTTTCGTAGTACGCCTCTGGCATCTTTGAGTGATCAAATCGTGTGGATCGTTTAATTTAGAGGCTTTTTTTGCACCCAAATTTTTTTCAAGAAACGATCCGTTTTTGAGATAAATGAGCATATACGTTCGAAAACATGTTAATTTTGCTTATGTTCCGCTTAAATTGTATTCTTTGACAAAATTCGTTGAAAATGCAACAACATGTTTTAAGATTGCGATGTTCTTACGCATGAGTCCAATCTGGATAAGTAGCGGGGATACAGAGGGTAGATCAAGGTTGTTCTTAACCGACCAATACAACGTCGGGAATAATATTCGTGTTAAGCCACTGCGTTGAGCCCTATCCAGTTGTTTCCATATTTCTTGTCTGATATCATTTGAAGAAATTGAAAAATAATATGGCATTCAACCTATCGGCAACAATCTGAGGCAACACTTACTCTTAGCTTTGTTAATATTAATCTCCAGGTCTGTGTCAGATTTATCAATTATTGTTTATTTAGGTTGACTTATTCGCGTTAGTACAATGTTTTATTATGTTAATGTTCAAGATGGAAATCATAAAGTAAAAAAAAAACAGATATTTGTATTGATAGCTTACCCAACTTTAGGATGATACGGTTTTAAAAATTTTCAAAATAGTAGAATTTTTTTTTGAGCAACTTTAGAAAACTGAAAAAAAACTTGACTTTCTACCCTCCGTATCCTCGTTGCTAATCCAGATTGGACTCGTGATTTCAATTTTAGTGAGTACATTTCATTGCATTTTCAACGAATTTTGTCAGAGAATAAAATATTTGAGGGAAACATAGGCAAAATTAACATGTTTTCGTACGTATATATGCTTATTTATCTCAAAAACGGTTCGTTTCTCGAAAAAAATTTATGAGCAAAAAAAGCCTCTAAATTGAACTATCTACACAATTTGATCACTGAAAGATGCGAGAGGGGTACTACCAAAAAGTTTGGAGGGGATAAAGAAGCCTCTACCTCCAAAAACGTATCACCCTGTAGATTTTGAAAATCTTTGATATGCTTGAGAAGATGATCTTCTAGGAAGTATTGACCACACTTAATTTCAAAATGATATCTCGAAAAGTAAGCGAGATATTTCAATTAATAGACAAAATTTTAACTTTGACCGCTACTGAACGAGATCGGACTAATGTTTATATAAACTTTTTTGATCAAAATGATGAGATATATCTTTCATTTCAGTTTGTGCCTTGAAACCTGAATCACCCTGTATGTTGAAATATTACTCATATTTTTATTTTATAGAAACCAGGAGAGGAAATCCCAAATATTCAAGTAAAATGATATTTGTTTGTAACCAGATTCATACAATTCATTTGCCCCTTACCTGAACATGCCTGAACTCCACAATTTTTTGTGCAATTGTGAAGCAGATAATGAATTTTTATTGATGATATATTTTCAGAATGGAGAACTAAGCGGTTATAAAAAAGAGAATGCTACTCTTATAGGAACAGGATTGGCTTTCGAGATCGTGCATATATTTCAACAGAAATTCGGCTTCACTTACGAGATAGTATTGCCGGAAGACAACGTTTTCCTAGAAGGAACAATTAATAAGGGGGCCAAGAATCTATTAGAAGATAAGGTACGTGTTTCCAACCTACATAACATGAACCCAAATTATTGGACCATTCATTGAAGCAAATGTATACAAACTTTTTTTCCCATATTTTGGAATTTATAGTTGTTCGTTCGGAAATATTCTGTAGACTTGCTAACTAATTCGAATCAACCGCCATATACAGAGGGCTGCTTCCTAGACGCTTGTCAACATGAGCAAATTTGGTCAAATCTTGTCTCGAATACCAAAAAAGACAGTATATACAATATGGAAACACAAGTGGAAACATCAGTTTTCAGAGTTTTGCCTTGAAGTTGTTATGAGTTGACTGTATCGCCGAGGTAAAAGGAATCGCATCGATTATGGAGGACTATAACGTGCAGAAAAAAATGAAGACAACAATATACGAAAAATCTGTCATCGAAACTCATCCAGGTAAAATATTTCAGCTTCACTGATATTAAAAACAAGACAGCGCCAGAAAACCGAAATTGTCGAGAACACCAAAATATTTCTGAAATAAGAAAACCATTTTCTGCTGCTCTCAAGAACAAAGAAATGGAAAAAATAAAAGCAACCTGGCACGAAACTACTCCACATGGCTTGAAAAGAAAGTTTCGTCACACTGCTAGTAACGAATTGGCATGGGGTGGTTTTGAGAAGCGACAAGAGCAGTACAATATTTTTCAGAAGAAATAGATTTTGAAACTGAAAGGAACGGATAGAATCCAATAATTTCTATAACCGAATAAGGTGAATCTCACAGATTAATTGAAACAAATTTTTAACGCAAAATAAAATACACTGAAAAATGCCCGTTATATCTCATTTGAAAGTTAATGTCGAAGACAACTACCAATAATCAAATTGATTGTTTATAGCGGCCCGAAAGATTGGCTTGGATTCCAGCAAAATCAAAGTTACGAACGTGGAGAAGGTGAGCAGCAGTTTTTTGAAAATAACATGGCTCTATCATATCCTATCTACAACTTCACCAAGAGCATCACGCAAGCGTGATCAACAACTTGAGAGGAAACAGACTCTTTACTTCTTCATCTCGAGGAAATTGTACAATAACTTACAATAATTGCACTATTACATACAGCAATGCAGAATTTCCATTTATCCCAGGAAACTGAAAATCCACGGCTAAGGCGCAGGTCAACTCTGTAAAATTACAGCCTGGGTAACCAACAACCTAGTTGTATTCAATGCCACCAAGACTCAAGCCTGTATTTTCACTAAAAAGGCGGAACTCAGGCCTGATGAAATAACAATATCTGGTATCACCATTCTCTCCAAGTCCACTATATTAATGCTCGGTATCTCCATCAGCAATAATTCCTCAGATCCATCGCGAAGGCTGCATCACCAATACTTGGATTATTGTTTCGTGCGAAAGGCTACTTCACACCTCAACAGCTTCTCACATTCTACGAAGCACATATACGGCCTGCTCTAGAAAACTGTTCCACTTATGGGGTTCAGCACCCAAACATAAGCTGATTCTCTCAGATTCCATCAAGAGAAGAGCCAGTCGCCTGGTGGGTGATGTAACAATCACTTACTCTTTGACATCATTGAAACACCGTAGAGAAGTCGGCATTCTTTCACTTTCCTTTATACATACTTCCACCAAAAATGTTCTTCAGTTCTCTACGATCGCTAGCAATACCAGCCAGACGAACTCGACACGCTCAGTCAGCACATTCTTTCGTTGTCTATAGAACGATATAGCTCTGGAATTCATTGCCTAAGGAAGTATTCCCAAGAACTTATAATCACCAAAAGTTCAAAAGGAATCCTCTCCCTATCCTCACTAGGTACGCTCAATGTCCCTAGAATATTAAAGAATTCTTCACAATTTTGACTAGACTAGCACTCGTCTTTGATGTATGGATTTCGTGCTGGTCATAGTACCACCACTGCACTTTTGAAAGTCACTGGCGACTTGTTTCGGTCAGTAGATAGAAGTGAATCCTCGTATCTTGTTTCGTTAGAAACTCAAACATCTAGGATTTCATCAGAACTCAGTAGCTCTTATCAAAGGTTTTTTGTCGTTACTGATTCAGTCAATCACTCTTAATGGTGAATCTTCAGGAACACTACCTGTAGAGTTTGGGGTACCTCAAGGATCCATCCTTGGTCTATTACTGTTTTCTTTATATATTTGTGACTTTCATGACATAATTCAGCAGTGCCATATTCATCACTTTGCCGACGATACCCAACTCTATATCAGCTTTGACATTAAAGACGCCCTCTTAACATCTGAACAAGTAAATTATGATCTGGCTTTTCTTTTCGCTATTTCCACTGCTCATAACCTTGAGATAAATCCGCGCAAGTCCCATGCTATGCTCATCGGCAATAAATCCAAATGTGCACTGGCTGAGGCTAACTTTTCACTTAACCTTTCCAATGAACAACTACCATTTGTCGATGAATGCAAAAACTTGGGTGTCACAAAACACTTTAGTTATTTGTGTCAGAGCTCGTTCATCGTGTTGGGACAATTATATCCTTCTAAGGACATTTCACCCACCTCGAAACTGAAACTAAAGCTCTGCTAATCCTTGATTATCTCTGAGCTCTTATACCCGATGGCTGAGATTGGAAAAAATTGGGGAAACTTCATTTACTCACTTTAACCCATAAAGTATCAACATATTTCCCAACTTACCTAGCTGCTGAACTGGTCACCTTCAGAAACTATAATAATGCGAGAACAAGAAAACAAAAATACCTTGACTTTTCCAAAATTCGAAACCAGTTTGTATAAACGGAGCTTCTCATACACAGCTTCGAACTGTTATAACTCATTACCTACTAATTTCCATAATTATAATTTACTCAATTTCAAAAAGAAACTGAAAGCATTACTGAATGAGGGATAGGGATTTTGCTGCACTATATATATTCTAATTCGCACAGCTCGAGATTTGTCCGATTATCGAACTATCAATGGCGATTCTCCTTATGTTCTTTAGTACTATTATGTTCTACATATTTTCCTTCTTCTCTTTCTTTTTCTTCTAGGGTTAAGTTGCTAAACAGCATCAGCTGACACTTCGCATCTTCTATGAAATTCAATAATTATCATCATAATCATGTAAATATGAAGAAATTATATTGTTGCAAGATGAAAAAAGACGATTTGTTATCATTATCATCATTATTATAAATCTGACGAGTACGGTGTTTACAAGTGGGATTCCTCAGCTATTACTACCACTTGTAGATATAAGGTTCATTCGGGTTCGAACTATAACGGTTCTAGAACTGTCAGGAGTTTGCGCAGTAAAATCGGTCGCGTTCGGGTTTTGTGGGACTGTTCTAGGACTGACACTTTACGCGTTCGGGTTTTTCCAGAATCGTCCTGGGACTGGCTGGGACGGTCCTAGAACTATCCGAAACCAGTACCTGCTCTCGAGCATGAACCGTTCTAGGATTATTTTTGGCGCATGCTCATTTCATTTAATCCATATATAGTTTTATGATATATTTTTGTTTATTCAATTGTTTATTGCTCTTCTCACTATTTCCTCATTATCATGGAGTTAGTACATTCATTTGATAGTAGTAGTTCTTCATCTTCAGGAAGCAGTGGTGAAGGAGTTCCTTGCTGAAGTTGCTGAAAATATTGTGCTTAATCTGATAGTTCTCGAACTTTTCTCAGATTATCCGAAAAATATATTCGTATACACAATTTATTGAACATTTCAGGAGGGTGTCGAAATTCATGTAGGTACAAGGGACAAGATATATTGAAAATCTAGCTACGAATGCTATGATGGCATATATTCACCATTCCTCCATAGAGGGCTTTCAGAGATATTGTGAATAGACTCAAAGGAGAGTTTGAAGCTTCAGAATATTATTGTAATAAAGATACAGGTGCCAAACTATTTTTTCCGCCAATTCTGGATAGAGGCTATGTTCTCAGAGGTTCTCGTCTGCCGCGTTCGGGTGTTCATAATTTGTGAACCGTTCTGAAACAGTCCTAGGATTCTAAACGACTGTGCACTAGTTCTACGAAGTTCGAGAACGATTCTTGTACAGTTCTGAAATCGGAACCCGAATGAACCTATTAATTACTGTTGAAAGTTCATCTCCTCATTTTTCAGAAAGTGGACGTAGCTGTAGCCTTCCTACCGATAGTGAACTCCTTCAGACATGACGTCACCTACTCGAGGAGCTTCGACGTGGCCGAGTGGTCAGTGCTGATGAACCGGCCTAGAGACTCGGCCACCGGCTCAGGCCTTCTGGCCCCCTTCACCACCGAGGTGTGGATCATCATAATCTTCTCGGTGCTGGTGATCGGACCTATTATGCACCTGATCATCCTGGCGAGGGCTAGACTATGCAAATCGGACGAGGAGAGTGTCGTCTATCCGCTGCCCGATTGTATGTGGTTTTTGTACGGAGCGCTTCTGAAGCAGGGGTCCGTTTTGAACCCAGTAACAGGTATTTTCATATGAGGATGTTCATCTACATCTCTTCAACCCTTCAGTGCATAATGTGCCTTATTATTAGAGTAATTAGAATAAGCAATGACACAGTATTCTAGTACATAGAGGACGATCTATCCATTGTTCCTGTGTAGATCGCTCAACACCGAGAGAAATATATCAATTAGCTGTTTGAAGATTTCTGGATTGAATAGGCGCCAGCATAATTCCCTTTCCACAATGATCAAGTTTATCATTCGAGAAGAATCATATAATGGTGAAAACCGTAACTTTTCCTAACACTTGGAATCCCGTATTTGTCCTATATTCAAATCCGGTAAAATTGGTGATATTCATAACTATAGACCCATAGCGCTCATTTCAGTTCTCTCGAAACTATTCGAAATCACTCTTTTTGATATAATTTCCTCTCATGTAGGTAACTCCTTACCAGAGTTCCAACATGGATTTATGAAATCTCGAAGCACAGTCTCAAACTTATGCACGTTCACTCACTATGTATCAAACTCACTCGATCATCGTCACCAAGTGGATGTTGTGTAAACTGATTTCAGCAAAGCCTTCAATAAAGTTTCTCACAAACAACTTTTACAAAAATTGGGTAATTTCGGTATACCCCCTAACATCCAATTACTTTTGGAATCGTACCTCAGTGATAGGAACTTATTCGTCGACTATGAACGTGTACAATCTGTCAACTTCATAGCTCATTCAGGAGTACCTTAAGGATCGAATCTGGGGCCTCTTTTATTCCTGATATTTATTAATGATATATGCATTTCAATAAAATCAGGCAAACTCCCTTTTGCAGATGACATTTTCACAGAAATAACAGATATTGCAGTTTGTTTTCGCCTGCGAAATGATCTGAATATTCTTTTCAAATGGTGGTCTGAAAATAATTCACCCCTGAATATTGAGAAATGTATGATTATGAGCTATTCTACAGAAGTTTCTACATTTATTATTCTGTTTATTTATTTGAATATTTCATCGAAGATGGTGAACTAAGCAGGGTGAACGATTTTAAAGATCTGGGACCTATATTTGACAGCATATTAATATTCAATTTATATATTGAAAAAATCGAATCCATTGCCAACCAGGGCTCTAGGTTTCCTCAGACGTGATTGAAAAGAATTTACGAATCGTAGAGCTCTTTGTTCTATTTACTACTGCATTGTACGTAGCGAGGGCTAGACTGTGCAAATCGGACGAGGAGAGTGTCGCCTATCCGCTGCCCACTGCATGTGGTTTTTGTACGGAGCGCTTCTGAAGCAGAGGTCCGTTTTGATCCAAGTCACAGGTATTTTCGTATGAGGTTGTTCATATGCATCTGTTTAACCCTTTAGTGCAGAATGTGCCTTATGACCAAGGCAACCAGATGACGTTTCAGTCAGTTTCACGTCAGTTGAATGACCAAGGTGACGTCAGGAGTTGACGTCGTATGACGTGATAAATGACGTGAATAAATTATAGCCCAACGACGTCATATTACTCACGTATATTGACGGCAGTCACTCACCAAACTGTTACATCGAACTGACGTCGAAATGACGTTCAAATTTGGTGATGACACATAAAAAAGTTTTCTCGAACATGGTGTGATAATCACCACTTACCTCTGATGACATATAATATTGATTATGCATTGTTGAGTCTGCTGGTGTCATGTCCATTCAATCGTCTATTCAGCAGCGCTATCCCTCAGCACGCATTGCCATCAGAATGAAGTCAGTTACTCGTATTTTTATAAAAAATCATGTAGTTTGTGTCGGCGTGGTGTTAGCAAACCAAGAATAGTTTGATAGCAATGGAAAGGATGTTGACGAATTAAGGGGCGGCGAGTTTTGTTTTGCCCAATGGGTACCAAAATGGAGGGGTTAGGGCAAGCCAACAAAAAATGCGCCGTAGGCGAAAATTTTTTATGGCTCAAGGTCAAATGCCTTCAAATTTGAAGATAGCTTGATGCAATATTGATTCTGCATTACGTGTGAAACACCCCTACTAGAATATTATGTTTTTTGACTAATCGGGTTTCGGGTCTGTTGTTAATATCAACATAAACAAAGGTGAGAAATGAAGGAATAATTTTTTTCCAAATTTTATTGTAAAACATAAACAACTCGAAAGTAACGTAAAAACATGACTACAAAAATAAAATAATATTCAAATCAGGTACCAATTCAGTATTACAAAAATAAAATAAAGGAACTTTGGGATTTGAAAAAATAAGCAAGTAACAGCAGTTAATTCATTGCAAAGGTATTCCTACCAACTGTGATATTTCCAATGAATTCATTAGCAACTGTATTTATTACGAAAGCGTAGAAAGGCCACTGTTGTGTGTATTCTATTTTATTTCTTTATTCAGACTTTAAAGTCTGAATTCAGACTTTTTTCTCTGAATTCAAACTTTTTTGTCTGAATTCAGACTTTAAAGTCTGAATTCAGACTTTTTTCTCTGAATTCAGACTTTTTTTTCTGAATTCAGACTTTAAAGTCTGAATTCAGACTTTTTTCTCTGAATTCAGACATTTTTCTCTGAATTCAGACTTTTTCCTCTGAATTCAGACTTTTTTTCTCTGAATTCAGACTTTTTTCTCTGAATTCAGACTTTTTTCTCTGAATTGAAACTTTTTTCTCTGAATTCAGACTTTTTTCTCTGAAATCAGACTTTTTTCTATTAATTCATTGAATAACACATTCACATTAGGTAATACCGAGGGTAATACACTGATTTCAGTAAGTATACCCACCTTTTATGTCATTTATTTTTCATGGGGTTGATTGATTTTATTATTATTTGCAGGTCACTACGTCAAAACGTCTATAATAAATGATGTGATGCTTATTCAAATATATTTATTTCTGACAGTGACATTATAAGCTTATATCGTCATAGTTACGATATCTATAATGAGGGTCATAACTCCCTTGGGATGTTATAGATGCTATAATTCCCTCTAGCTAAAATTAAATAAGAAATGCATAGCAACAACCACGCAATAACGTAGCAATAAAGAATCTCCTATTCGCGGTAGTCAAGATCATCATCTGACGTTCTGATGACATTGAAACTATACGGAAAAACATGTCTAACTTCCAATCGGGAAGGTATCTGATGAATGAAATCAGTCAGAAATAAAATTATCTATGTATCACGGGAATTATAGAGCCTTAATATAACCTCTGGCAATTGCTGTCCCTCGGGCCAGAGGCCCTCGGGACGCAAACTATGCCATCGGTAATTAAGGCCCTCATAATTTCCTTAATACATAAATAACTATTATACCCTATATAAAAAGCGAGAATATAGTTTATATAATATATATGGTGAGTCTCACTTTTCATAGGGTAGTTGACAGCATAAGTGCTGCTAAAAATAGTATAACTTATGACCAAATCAATCCTTCTGATATAATGCAAGATTGATGATTAAATAGATCATCAATAACTCGAGAACTATATTCGACATTAACGATACTAACTCAAGAATGGTTGGGTAGCATGGCATGCAAAGATACTGTATTCAAAGAAAAAAGTCTGAATTCAGAGAAAAAAGTCTGAATTCAGACTTTAAAGTCTGAATTCAGACAAAAAAGTCTGAATTCAGAGAAAAAAGTCTGATTTCAGACTTTAAAGTCTGAATTCAGACAAAAAAGTCTTAATTCAGAGAAAAAAGTCTGAATTCAGACTTTAAAGTCTGAATTCAGACAAAAAAGTTTGAATTCAGAGAAAAAAGTCTGAATAAAGAAATAAAATAGAATACACACAACAGTGGCCTTTCTACGCTTTCGTAATTTATGTCTAATTCATTCATTCGTTCTCTATAACAATGCAATATTGCCACATTGTTTAGTCGTTTTTGTAATCTGTGTTTTTGTGTCATTGTACTACGCAAGTAAGTTTTTAGTCTGCGTAGTGCTGAAAATGATCTTTCGGAAGAACAAGATGTGACGGGAATAGTGGCGATCAGCTTCAAATATTTATAAAATTCTGGAAGCATGTTTCTTAGATGTAAGAATTTATCGGATATAGCGACTTCACAAATCTCATTGAGATTAGTTATTCGTACATTATTTCCTTTCATTACATCAAGAAACATGTTCCTATATAAAACTAATCGGTCAATTGTGAAATCTGCTTTATACATTTCCACAACTTTCTGATTTTCCCCGCCTAAAGCGAATGACTCCATTTCAGCCAAATGATTATTTATCTCCTTATTGAATCGTCTCTCAATACCGATAATAACCGAATCCAATATTTCGAAATAAATTTTCCTGTAGTAGATCTGCGTGTTGTTGAACTGGTGTGGTTTGCTACCGCTGTCATATTTTCTAGGAGCATTTCTTTGTCGAGGTAACTTGGCTTCATCTAGATTCAACTTTCTTGCGTCAGCCTCAACTTCTCTCCACAGTTGATCATATTCACTATCATTCCTGATATTCTTCAAATGTGATAACATCACATCAATGTATTCTGTAAGATTTCTCTCCAGATCTCCAATCATATTTTTCGCTCCAGGATGGAACATATCTCCGTTTCCTACTGCTGAACGTTTTCTGAATTCCTAAAACATATTTCCATGTTTATTCTCATCAAAAATTTTATTTTCACCATGTCATACCTGAGCCAGTAGTACTACTACTCGCACTGACATCAGATTGTGCATCATCATCTTTTGGAGAATCAATTCTTTTTACAAATTTGTCCATTTTTCACATATAACAACACAGGTTATTCAGTATTAAATCGCTTTGCAAAGCACATTCAGTCGTTTGCGACCCCTGGCGGTACACTGCACAGTGCACACTTGCACACTAAAAATAGATACCTACTAATTCCCACCAGTCCCAATGATCATCACTGATTGAGCGAGAAGTCGCTTTGTCCAACCCCTTCCTACACATCGATAGCGAATCGAATGTACGGTACGCATGGTTGTCTTTGTCTACCTACTTGTCCACTTTGTCCAGCAATGTGCAATGT